CATGCTGCGAGGGGGATGGCCGCTGGGAAGTGGAAGCGATGCGCGCGATGCGTCATCTGCTGCGTCGCTCTGTCTCTCTCGCACTCGTCGCACTTCCCCTGAGTGCGAGAGAGACAGAGCGACGAAACCATCGCTCCGGCCGCTGCAAGCTGCGAGTCCGCTGTAAAATGTTGCAAGTCCGAACGACGGTGGCACTTCGGCCAGCCTGCGTGGAACTGGAAGTCCGAATCGGTGCAGCAGGCAGGCCGATGCCGAAAACTCTGTCTCTCTCGCACTCCTGGGGCGGTCCGTGGGGGTGCGAGAGAGAGCGACGAATCGGTGTGCGGAGCGTGGCTCCTCCCTCCTCCCTTGCCTCGCGGCCCTATTGCGAGTTCGACGGCCCCGCTGCAGCTAGCAGTGCAGCACACTGCACTAATGGTGTGGTAACCACGGTAACGGTAATAGCTGCGGGTGGATGTGCCGGCGGGTTAATAGAATGCAGCCAAACAGTCGCGCCAAACGACAGCCAATGACAGCGAGTTCAAACTACCGCGGCCTCCTGAATCAGCGGGAGGGGCTGGCGCGGCGGTGGTGGCTAAAACCAGCGTCCAGCGACCGAAACGATTTGAACTAACCTCGAAGACCGCGGAAAGCGGTTAGCATGTGACCCGAGAGTGAAGCGGCATCAATGTACATGCACCCCTCGGCGCTTGAGAAGGAGTGCGACTTTATTAGGACCGCTCAAGAAGAATTGAGCTGGTCCCTTCAAAAATTGACTGAAACAAAACAAAAAGGACGGAGGAAGCGGAGCCCCCCGGTGTTGATGTGAGAGCGGTGTATCTAGCAGCCGCGAGGGAAGCGCCGGAGACTGCTTGCAGCGCCATCTGGCGGATGTCAGCTCAAACACGGGTTCGCCGCCATCAATGTTTGCTCTCTTAAAATTCCCGCGCCGTCGCGTGTTTGCGCCTCTTTATTTGGCGGGTAGGGGTGTATTGCGTGTTGTGTGCATGTGAGTGTGTCTGTGTGTGCGCGTTTGAGCGCAATGCGGCCAAATTGGGGCCACAGTCCGGCCGTGGCGCCGCCGGCCTCGCCGCGGGGAAAGTCGCACCGTCAATTAACAGTGCCTCGTCCTGTTGGTCCCCCTCTTTCCGGAGGCCGCGACACTGTGGATTTACCAGTGGAGGCGGTCAAAATTCCAGACGCGTTTTGAGCTCCGGAGTCGCCAAACAGGACTCGAACGCTCTCCGATCGCGGAACCCAATGGTGGGGTCACTCGCTCTGTTTGGTTGCCTGCGTTGCCTACACTGCCTGCGTTGCCGAGGCGAGGCAGAGACTCGCATCGCGCCCCAATTTTCGGCGCCATGGATCGGTGATGCAGCTGATGGAGTTTGTCGCGCCATCAGCGCCGACAACAACATTCCGACGAGAAATTCCCCGGCCGTTCCCCTTCTGGCCTTTTATCTTGTTGCGCCCCTTTTTCTCGGAGCATCGCGTCGCCCCGCCGTAAATGGGATCGCCAATCGGGGAGTAAACACCGGGCGGGGCAGGGCGGGGCGACGCCATGGCTCGCGACGGTGCAGCGGACCACTTCCGAGAGTCCGTCGCTCTGTCTCTCTCGCACCTGTCCGGGACGCCCCGTGAGTGCGAGAGAGACAGAGCGACGACGGCACCGCAGGTTCGGAATGAGCCTGCAGGGGGTGATGTTGGCACTACCGAACCGAACCGCCAGGCTGCGCTACGCCGCCACGGCGGGGTTGGCGTTGGCGGGGTTCCGGGAAGGGAGGCTGCGCGAGGCGAGGCGAGGCGGGCGGCCGTCACGTACGCCAGGCTGTGTGTCTTGCGAATTGAACTCGCCCACCTGGAACCTGGAACCAGAACCAGCCCGGGCAGCTCGAGTGGGCGTGGCTTGGCGTGGCGTGGCGGTGCGTGGCGTCGTCCGCCGGTACCGAGCAGCAACCCACCCTGCAGACTGATTCCGAGAGTCCCCTTCAAGTAGCGCGGCGCGCGCGTGGCTGGCCGCGGGCTGGGGACGCGACGCCACGCGAGGCTTCGCGATATCCAGGGCAATGTATGCCATAATTTGGCTGCCGGGGGGAATTAGGAACGAGTCGCGGGCACAATACTGCACACGTGTGTGTGTGTGCGTGTGTGTGTCGTGTGTGTGTTCGCGCGTGCGCACCCCAAGGCACGTACTCCACCGGTATGCGTGACACCGTGGCTTGTCATTACCAGCAAGTCAGTACTGCTTACCATACGCAGGGCCCTTATGCGAGGTATAGCCCGCCAGGCAACTTCTCCATAGCGCAAAACGAAGGATATTGCCTGTATTGGGCAGGTAACGGTTGCCACCTGGTGCATATCGTGGGAAACGAAACGTTTTTGACTACTTGGGTGGCAACACTGCTGGGGTATCAAGTCCCACGGTCGACAGGGTCGCTCACAGCTCTCTGGCCTCGCCGGGCGGGCAAAGCAACCCTTCCGACACGGGCGCATCACGAGGGGAATCTTCGCCTGTCTCTCTCGCACCCCCGAGACGCCCCGTGAGTGCGAGAGAGACAGAGCGGCCGCGCTCGGCGAAAGCTCCGCGCCCACATCAGCCCTGCACCAGCCGCGCCGGTGTCACCTTTCCAGGAGGGAGTCTGAACGACGCGTGGCCAGAAAAGCGCCTCATTAGAAACCGATCCCCTCTCTCGGAGAAACATCAACAACAATACCCGCTGCTGCGGTGCTGCTACACCAACAACAAGAACAAGGCGCGGGCCAACAAAAACAAAAGGCGGTGGGAGGAGAGAAGGAGGTGCGAAAAAGGTGTTATTCGTCGCCTTGATCCCATCCCGGGGTGCATTAGGCTGCCGCTGATCTCATCCCAACGTGCGAGCTTCCCCTTGTAGTCCCCCCCTCTCCTTTTTTTGCACTCGCCCATGCGGACCCTTGGCCAGGAGAGAGAGAGGGGGGGGGGGAATAAGAGAGACTGCTTTATGGAGCAGAGTGGATATTATACGCCGCCCTTTTTCTATTACCCCTCTCCGCCTGCTTATTGGCACATCCATAAGGAAAGAGAGAGAAAAACGTCTATCAAAACAACAATAACAAAAAAAACAGCCAGAATTTAAAAAAAATAGTTGCTTGACTTTTTCTGTTTAATGAAACGAGTTGGACCCAGGAGGGGTGAGGGAGAAGAGCGAAAGACTATTAATTCCACACACGATGCCTTCCTTTGTCGTGGGATGGATTCGAAGGAGCAAGAGGAAGAAGTAGTGCGGGACGTGTGTGTGTGGGGGGGGGGGGGGGGGCAGCACTAGGAGTGTGTGAAGACTGTTGTGTTTGCTCCGGGGTGGGTTTGAGAGTCCCGTTGGGATTTAGAGGCCGGTTCCTCTCGGAGGCGACGGACGATTCCGGCCGCCTTTAGAAGTTCCAAAGCCGTTCGGGTTTTTCGAAGCGACTGAAAGCCTCTACTAATCGCAATCTCCTGTCCGTGCATGGCTGCATGGCACACTGTGCGGGGGCGTCCCGTGCTCTGACTCGACCCCAGAGCAAGCCCTGGTCCAGGTCACTCCCTTGACTTCTGCGAAGAGACACACGACAGTGGAAAACCCCCGTCCCGTCCGCACAACTGCGACCTTTCGCCCACCCACATCAGCCGCTGCTGCGCTGCCGGCCCCCGTTTTCATTTTGCATTAATGAGCAGACAACAAAACGAAAACAACAACAACTGTGAAAACAGAGGGAAAGGTGTGGTCAAGCAGGAGTAACGGGCCGGTCGCTGTCCCGCGTCAAACTTATGAAAATATACCTCGCCGTCCGCGGCGGTGCACCGCGCCCCTCCCACCCCCCTTCCCCCGGATTCACGAGGCGGCCAGGCGGCGGCCCGAATATTGTTTCCCGCTTTCGCCGCCCCGCTGAGTGGAGCGCTGGCGTCTCGGAAGCGTGATTAACGCAGCCAAATAGGGGAGGGTGGGAGGCGGGGGCGCGGAGGGGGGGGGGGGGAGCAGCCAGGACTGCGGGGAGCGGAAGTGCCGAAAACCGAAAAAAGGAGCGAGGGAGCTGGGCTGAACGGTTGGCACGACAAGGAATCGAATTGCATGCCGAACTGCGTTGTCTCTGGCTGAAGCGCCTGCGTTCCCGCGGGTAGGCAGCGCGCCCGCGCGGCTGTGTCGCGGGATGCCCATTCCGCCGTCGGCATTACCATTACCATTACGGGCTAGACCAGGCGGCAGGCCCGGAGGGCTCCTCGTTCCTCGGGACGCTCTGTCTCTCTCGCACCTACACGGGGCGCTCCGTGAGTGCGAGAGGGACAGAGCGACGAAACGACCCTCGGAATGAGTATGGAGCGCCTGCCCCCGCCGCGGACAAAGGAGGATCTGTTCAAACATGCGTCCTGTCGCGTTTGACAAGAATCCCCGGGGTGCCTGCCTCGTCGTGCTGTCTCCCTCGCACTCACGGGGCGCACCGTAACGGTGCGAGAGAGACGGAATGCGCCGGCTGGCCCGTGTTGGCTGGACGGATCGTCTTGGTAGCCGTTCGGCTAGCCCGCAGGTCCGGAACCTTTTCCTCAGAGAGGGGCTCTTGGCATGGCCGGAACGAAAGAATGGGGCACACGGCACGCTCGCTCGGACTCAACTTCATTTTCTGCAAGTGTCCGGATCACTGTATTCGCCATTGTGTTGCCCGAGGATTAGTACCTGATCCGGTACAGCTCCTCTGCAGGTTCTGGATAGCTTGGAATTAATTAGGACCGCTCAAGAAGTAATGAGCTGGTCCCTGCAAAAATAGTGAAAATCTCAGCCACCGGCCGGAACCGCATGACGGGCAGTGGGAGATTCTTGAACTTGATGTGAGGGCGCTGTATTTGGAAGCCGCGAGGGAAGCGCCGTAAATCGCTTGCAGCGCCACCCGGCGGATGGCTCCGAAAACGTCCAGATTCCAGCGAGATTCCTCTGTCTCTCTCGCACTCCCACGGCACGCCGCATGAGTGCGAGGGAGACAGAGCGAGTGTTTGAGTGTTTGCCTTGTCCGTGCAGGATGCGCTGCGTCCCGGTGCTCTCGCTGCCGCTGCTGGCCCTGGTGGCCCTGCTCGTGGTGTCCATGGCGCCGTGCCCCGGCCAGGCCATGACGCTGCCGCAGTGCCACCCCTCGGTGCTGGCCACGGGCACGGACCGCATCCGCAAGGTGTGCGCCGCCCTCACCACCATGTACGAGCTGTCCAACGCCATGGAGACCTACCTGGACGACAAGGGGACGCTGCAGAGTGAGTCCGAAGGTCAGGCTCGCTCTCTGTAGACCTATCCTATCCCTTCAACGCTTTGCACCTGCAGACCCATTCCGAGAGCCCTTCTCGTCGCTCTGTCTCCCTCGCACCCATACGGGGCGCCCGATGAGGGCGAGAGAGGCAGCGGCGAAAGCGACTCTAGGTATCAGTCTCCTGCTTAGTGCTTATCAAGGATTCAGGCACCAGGCATCGTGTCTGCGCCGTTGTCTGTACACACTGCAAGTTGGTAGAGAAGAGGAAGAAAAGAGCCGGCCGGCTATACCCCTTGTCCAAGGTGGGCAGTATCACGCGCGGGGTATCGACAAAAAGAATTCCCTGCTCCCTGACGATACCCCGCACACAGTGACGCCGCCTCACGCGGCGGGGTATTGACGACTCCGTTCTTTTCCAACTCGTTCCGGGCTTGTTGCACGCTGCCGTGTCTTCGGCACTGCTTTTCCTAGCTTTCTTAATTCCTCTGGAAATAAAATGAAGAATCTAGAATTTGAAGCTTGTGTTGGGCTTGTGGCTCAGTGTGACAATTTTTGTTTCTTTTGTAACTACTTGTCACTGACTGTTGTTTATTTCCCCCTCTCTGAACCAGTGCTGCGCGACAACGCCCCTCTGGTGGACAGCGGAGTCAAGAGGCAAGACGTCGACCACGTCTTCCTGAGATTTGGCCGACGCCGTTAAGCGCCGTTGCCGTTAGACGACGCAAGTTGTGTGGTAGTTGCAGCCCCACCTTCTCTCTCTCTCTTTTTAACATTTTGTCCGTCTTGGGGACCTTCCCAAAGTAGAAAATCAAGTTTCTTTTCCCATTGTTGAGGCAGTTGCAATAGTTTGTTATTACATTAAGTCTGAGATGACGTTGCTCTGTGAGACAGCAGTAGGTTAGTCGCTTCAAGTGCTGGTCCTGGACCCACACCACCACTTGAAGCAACGCCCTTGCTTCCACTCCAGAGCGATTCAAGATGCAACTGCATGTTTCTGTGTACCATTTTCAATGTTACAATGTTTGGAATGAAGGATTGTTTGTATATAAGTAAAATGTCAAAAGACATTCCTTTCTGGATTAGGGCTTCATCTCTGCCATGAAGAATGTATAATCCACTTTAAACTGTAAATTTTTTTAAAGCGTAGAAATAAAAATGCAAGGCGTTGGTCTGAATATGTACTTTTAATTCAAGGATCACTTGACCTCATACTTTCAATTTCAACAGTTCCAGATAAAGGAGAATGAAAAGGATGAGAACACTATTCACTTTACATATTTTATTTTCTTGCTACAATCAGAAAAAAAAAGAAAGGTACTGTAGAAAGAAAGGTTTATATAAAGAGCTATGAAAAACGTTAACACAGGAATACATGGCAATAAATTAACATGAGGTGAGCTTGCAAAACAAATGGTTTCAGTACACCGTCCACGGCAAGCACAAATAGCGCCAATACTGTTCTTGTTCATTTCCGAAGAGAAATGAGAGGGGCTAGCACTAAATGTCCATCAACCAACATACATCAAAAGTAGTGTTCAAATGTCTCATCCACATTTCTCTAAAACAAATCACATTTCATACCGCATTACATTGTGGAGCATGGAAAGGATCAGATGCACATCAAACCCAGGCTCACGTTCTCTAGCCACATTACAGTTATTGCACTGGAATATCCATATCCATCTGGAATGTTAATAATTTTAAAAATCTAACAGAAAATACTCGAGCCTAACCAAATAAAGAATCTGAAAAGCTCAAGTTCGAAAATAGCACAACATGGCAATTTCATTCATTTGACATATATCCATATATATAATTTATATATTTTCTGTATACATATATTTTCTCTCATAACCATATTTATACATGTCTCAAATTCGTGCACATTTACTTTGAACTATACATATTTATACTCACAGCAGAAGGGAACAGCACATTAAACCAGTTTACACTTTGCTATACAATATGCTGCAATAAATTTATCTACAAAGAGAAGCAAGAGTATGCTTTCAAAGCATTCCATTACTTTTTCACCTAGCATCCAATACAGTAAATTATGAAGTGGTACATAGATTTTCGGTCACTTGCCTAGGTAACATCAAATATAGTTTCTTTCTCAAATCATACAATTCATACATCTTCATTATTTTATACATAGTACGGAAATATTTCCTGAATCTACTGTTTGATTTAGAAGTACAGTTCCTCAACTATTTAGGACCAGTACCATGTATTGTCTCCAAACACTCCTATCTTTTTATACAAAGGTCTAAAACTACTTATGTACACACACCTGGGCGCATTCACTACCTATAAAATAATTTGTATAATACAACAAATGCAAAGTGGACACTGAGCCAGAACCAACAGGCCACTGCCATAATGTCACTTCAGCATTTCACAAGCACACAGTATAATCATTTGACAACAAATACGAACACTCACATACTCTCTCTCACACACACTTCTAAACAACTTATCACAATCTTGCATCTTTCACTCATGAGTATTTTGACAAGGAAATACGGCAATACATCATAAGCCCTTAACAGCATGCCATTAAATACATCACTAAACAATGCAGGCAGTAACAGACTATTTGTGCAGCCACTAACATGATCTGAGGCATATCAGTACAAATTAACTTTAAACCAGCAACAATTTAAAACATAACATAGAAACAAAATTAACAATAACTAAAACGATCTGCCAATGAACAGACCAAAATATTTATTAAAGCAAATATTGAAAGATATGTATCCTAACAGTTTACAAAAAAACCCGTTGTCAGTATAGTGCCTTGGAAGTAATTTGGTTGATTGAAAACAAAGGAACCAAACCAACAACAATAAAAAAAATTAACAGCAATATCTAAAACCTACTAAAAGGACACTTAGCCTCCATACAGACAGATTATGAAGGTCTGGTTAACTTGGAGAGAGAGATAAGCACTCAGGCCACGAGAAGCAATGCCTTTCCGTCCACAGCAAAATCCAGATCATCAAACTGTTGTCTTGCCACAAATTTCTTAAAAATTTAACAATATTTACAAACATGGTGCAGTTAGTTCCACTTGAAATCCTGCAACAGCGAAATGAAAATATTAATAATTGATTGGAATGGGGCCAGGCAATACATAGAAGGATTTTGGACATAGAAGTCCGGCAAGGGAAGGAGACAGGCTGGGCATAATAAACCAAAGAATTCATTAATGGCTTAATTTGTTGCAAATGTACAGAAGAAATCAAACGCTCAGATTTTTCCTCCACAGCCAATTTTTTTTTAAATCTTTTGAAGAAAAATAAAGTTTTCCAACAAAGCAAAGATCTCTGTACATACTGGACAGATAAAGAAGAAATACAAGGTCACAAAAAAAAAATTACTTGCAAAATTGATGTTAGTAATTAATTTACATGGTCTGAATGATTTACACACATAATAGACCAAACAGTGCAGAAAAGCAATCCGTCCCTTCCCTTCCTCTGTGAAGGAGCGAGTTGTGGTAGTAATAGTAGTAACAGAACAGGGTGCATCAGAAAGCCTTAGCTATACCTAGAGAGTGCATAGAGCTGCGTAGAGCTGTGCAGGGGCGCAGGGCCACACTTGCGAGCTGGGTGCTCACAGAGCCCCGAACGGATCCATCGTCTGTGGTTGAGCCTGGATCGGCTGTCCGGGCTGTGCGGGACCAGGACCCATGCTACCGCCACCAGCACCTCCACCCATCATGGGTACACCCGCAGGAACCCCGGGCCGCATGGGCACCATACCCGGCGCCGCCTGGGGGGCCATCCCCTGGGGAGCCATGCCAGCCATGCCCTGGACAGGAACCATGCCAGGCATGCCCTGCTGTGGGACGGAGCACGACAAGAACAGAACAGTGAGTCCAGGCTGCACCAAGTGAGTCGGAAAAAATGTTTTACACATGTAAAGCACAGGGGAAAGCGGCGGAAGGAACCAAAAGGCAGTTTAAAATGTTTCATTATAGTAGTTGGCATGAGAAAGACCGCATCTCCCTACTCCAACTTGGACTTTCAGATTCAATTTAGATACAAACAATTTCTGAATACTTTCACCTGTGCTTTAAATACATACAGAAGGCCCTGATCCTAAAATAAATTTGCAAAGATGTGTTACCAGAAACTATTAATGCAAAACGCTTTCTGAATTTTCGTAACGTAAAACTTTTAATTCAAATTTCATGGCGGTATCTTTTTTTAAAAAGAGGAATGTAGAATATCATTTATGTACAAACATGCTATCTTCCACTTGAAATATCACTTAGCTAGGCATCAAGTGAAAGCTTGTTAACCAGCACCAAAGACAGAAGAGAGGAAAAATGTCAAAGACAAACATAAAATTTGGAAAAAAAGGAAGATTCTTTCTTACATAAGGCAGGGAATCAGCTGATATTCACAATGTGCACAGATTAATAATGGCATCCTGCAGATGCATCATTCAAGTGCAAGCTTACTAGTTTGAGTGAAGAAGTAAGTGTGAGGAAACAGTCGTTCCAGTGCTAATTATTTTTGTCTAATTAAGCCATTTGATATTTTTTTGAGATTACTTCTGCAACTATACAATCCAATTAACTTAAGTTACTCAGTTAGATTCTGGAGTGTAACTAAGCAAGATACTTTTCCTGAGTACAGAGGCAAGTGCTACAATAAAAATCCAGAAGGCACCTTAATACTGTAGCTGCACTAGAGCCAGAAATAAAACAAAATTACTTTTAGGGTGCTAGCAATTATGTAACAGCAAAAAGCCTCAAATACAAGCACAGCACTGAGATCAGAGTCTACCCACTCAAAACAATGGAGGTGGCAAAAGTTCGAAACTATCAGGAAAAAAGAAGGGTGGGGAAGAAAGACAGGTCAAAGTCAATGAATGACAGTCAAGATTTTCTAATATCATCGAATTAGCTTTTTTAGTCAGGTTATTAATGTTGACCCCTGGGGCAGTCTTTTTGCATAAGCGGTAGGTACTCACCATTGATTGCATGGCAGGGAACTGAGTAGGCATATTCATATCCATATTCATGCCCATATGAAAATTCATTGATGAAGCCATTCCTTGCCCCTGAAACAGCAACCAGCTCATCATGCAAGCTGCCGGGCTGGGCTAGTCAAGTGAGGGGACAGCACTACTTGGAGCCACTATTGCCACAAGTCAAGGCAATAGTAGAAAACAAAATTGGGTCTGAATCACTTCGAACTTTGGCAAACTTTTTAAAAGCATGACAAATAATGGACATTAAAGTAGCTTTGGCTACACAGCCAAGCCTGCCATTCCACAGCTTATGCTGCTAACTCTGCTATAACTGTGCAAGAATGCTATAAAACTGCAATAGTCTGGCATGCACAAATCTACAAACGAGTTGGAACCTGTCGAAGAATTTAGCCAATCCTAGAAGTCAGCTAAAAAAAAGTGTTCAGCAAATGTGGAACTCCCAAGAGTGTTTAACTGTGGTTACAAATACAATCTTATAAGCATGGAAAACTGTATTACTTCAAATACTGGGAGAAAGTCTACTCTGTTGAGACTGCATACACCCAAATCTTCTTACTATACAAGAAACAGTGTCCTCAGACCCAAGAGGCTTTAAAAATCACTCAGAATTATGGTGCCTACTTCATTTGAAACTTGCCTGAAGTCATCTACTGAAATTACTCATACAATGCACAAACTACAAGTGAAGAGAATTGCAAAATTCATACCATAGGTCTATAGTTGGCACCAGTTGTCGCTGCCATTGGTTGAGGTGTCCATCCACCGGCTACACCGCCTGCTTTCGCTGTGTTCTTTGGCGAGTTCCACTGCACACCCCTGAAAATAATTAGAGGACAAGATTATGGCTAATGCTGACAATAGTTTAAATCGGGTTGGAAAATAGTTACATCAGTAAAAGAAATTTAATTGATAGACCTATACACTTACTTGACATTTTGCTGCGCTCCTTTGTTCATGGAAAGGTTCTCAGCAAGCGACGCAAGGCTGGAGTCCAAGTCGCCAGTAAGAACTTTGCCGCTCGCAGACTGGGACGCCGCTCCCGCCGCTGAAACCGCCACAGATGAACCCCCCGCTGGCTGGAGAACTTCGCCTAGTGCGTCAAACACGGAGCCTGCCCGACACCAAGCCAGCACAAGCAGCAGAGTAAGCAACAAGACCATGCACAAACAAGCAAACAACACATTACCCTTGGTAAAACAAGCCTCAGGTGTCGGTCCTAAAAGGGCTCCATTGCAGTACATTACAAGTGAATTAAAAGAGCTAGCACAGACTCTGTCCGAACTAAAGCAAACTGGAACAATGGTTTGTAAAGCAAGGGCAGTATGGGAAACAATTTTAATTGATTAGAGAATCAGATAAGCATCGGCTTTCTGGCTTGAGGCTCCCAACGCTACATTTCCTGTACTCAGCAATCAACTAAGTGTGAGCAAGCAATGATGGTTACAATGGTACAGGAAAGAAACTGTAACTAGGTCAAGGCATCCTGACGACAGTACAGAATGAACTGAGCCTACAAATTTCAACTCATGCTAAATCACAAAATCAGGACCAAAATCATTCAGAAAATATACATACTGTAGAGAAATAAATTTAAGAATAGGCACGGGCAGCCAACATAGAGCTCAAAAATGAAGACCTCATGATTCTGTGACCCCCAAAATGGATTTCAAACACAACTTGAAGAAACTAGCAAAGAAAAGAGTAAATCTAAAAATACCAACAAAGGAATGAAAAAAAAATAATTAAAACCAGGTGTGGTAAAACAAAGTTAAAAATCCACAACCCTCAAAATATTTGTTTTTTGCTCCCCAACCCCATTAAATAATGGATATGTTGAATGCCAGGTCAAATTTGATTAAGGACCAGTGAGGACAGTGAGGTGCAACATAACTAGACTTACAGTAGAGCTTTTCGCCTACATTTACACGTACACATCATCAACGGTGGCCAGAGCTATGCTAGCAGTCTGTCTAGAAGCAAGCCACAGATTTCACGTTAGCCAATTCACCTGCCACGGCAGCGGGCTGCTTAGCCGGAGATCCAAATCCGACCAGCCCCGGAGGAAACTGAGCCCCCTGGGGCACTCCTGCCGCCCCCGGCATTCCCGGCACCCCGACGCCGACCTGCGGCACCACGCCTGCCACGCCCCCGGGGCCCTGCGCCGCCTGCGCCGCCATGGGGCCCGTCTGCTTAGCCGGCGAGCCCAGCGCCGCGCGAATGCTGTCGTTCAGGTCATCGAAGGCCGACTTGCTGGCGCGACGCGCGGGGGAGTTGGTTTGGGACACGCTGGGGCTGGTGCAGTCCCCAACGGGTGGGGGAGGGCGGGCAGGAGAGCCCTGGGGCTGCGGGGCCCCGAACAAGCCGCCCCCGAACATGTCCGCTGCGGGGGCGGGGGCGGGAGCCGCTCGCGCTGGGGAGGCAGACATTGCCGGGGACGGGACACCACCAGGGGGCCCGCCAGTCACGTTCGTCACACCCCCAAGACTACCCGCTCCTCCCATCATAGCAGCTTGCACAAAAAGACACAGTTGTTACGCTTTCAACAGCTTTGTGCATGTTACGTAGCCACCGCCCAGCCCGACAGAAGGCACAATACATCCGTCCCACACTAGACATGGTAGCGTAGACATAAACCATGTGCGAATATCCTGTGCAAGGCTGCCAGTATGGCCCCATGGTCAAAAGAGTTTAAACCAGCCTACATGGTTTGGGGAAACTTGGTCTTCAATCACCTTGAGGCACTAGTTTGCTGGCCTGAGGGAAGAAGACCAATAAGTCAGCTCTGATCCAGCAAGGTCACCCCACACTATGTAAAATGCAACTGATGTGCTGTGCCTTCTAGTCACCAATCCATAATACAACTCCCTCTCCTCAACACATCCATTTTTCATCCAAATAAAAAATAAACATGTCCAAATTAAAATAAAGATGTCCTTTACTATGTCAAAGCACTAGAACATGTAGGAAATATTCCATGCACTTCAAAAATAAAATAACCACTCTCTTTTAGCCCCAAAAAGTAATATAAAACTTGAACACTGAAGTGAAAAATGTGCACAAAAATCAAGTCAAAATAAACTCTACAAATAACTTAAATTTGTGAGAGATGCATAAAAAGTAGGAGATAAATATCTACCAAATTTGAAAAATTCTAAAATATTACTATTAGAAGTACCAAGTCAAACATTAAGCCCCTGCAAATCCCACAAAAGCACCCAGATATCTGCACTCGTGCGAAATTGTGGTAGTTTTACAACTCCAAGAACAATCGAGAAATACATTTTAATTGAGCAAGTTAAAATGTAGGCTCGGTTCATGAAAGCAGGGTTATCAGCTAGGAGGAGTATGTTTGGGGTAGACATGTCAATAATTAGAAGGATGGTTGAGAGGTGGAAAAGGCAGGCTGGACTTGGGAAGCATGTGCTGACAACAGGATTGGCCATGATTTGTGAGGATACTCGCACATGATGAAATTGGGCATTTAGAATGAAAACTATGGTCATTAAAATGGTTGGGATGGTGCAATGACCCCTCACAAAACCACTTGAGATCCAGGAAACCCAGGCAAAGACAAAAACAAAACAAATGATGAAACTTCTTTTCAAAGTAGAATAATACAAAAAAGATTCTCACCGTTACTCGTTGCTTCGGCATCACCAAAGATAGCAAAGGCATTGTTGTTTGCCATTGGTGCGGGCGCTGCACCACCAGCAAAACCTGTTTTAGAATAAGATAAATAACTTACATGGCAAAAACAGAAGTCGGCATCATCAGCCAATCAACAAGATAAAATAATGCAGGTCAATAGTACCATTGGACATCCATGAGTTTGCGGCAGGTACAGGTGCCGGAGCGGCAGCTGGGGCAGGGGCAGATCCGAACATGTCAGCAAATGGATTTCCACTCAGCTGAAGGAGATCATCGGATGCTTTCGAAGATTGATGTTGCTAAAGGAAAAGAAGACAGTCAAAATATACAACCCTGCATCGCAATCTGTAATTTATTTCAACATATCCTCTGAACTTACATTTAAGCCACCAACATCAACAGGGGCAAACAAGTCGACAGAGCTTGTAATGGTAGGAGAAGACAGGAAAGGATTTGTACTGGGGCCTGTGGTAGGAGACGAAACTTTGGCCTGCAACATCAAACCACCCATCATTATTAGGTTGCACGAATGAATTTTAAATAAAACACACGCCATCAAGGTTTAAAGAAGCGCACAGAGAAAGACTCACTTTGTATTGGTTCATAGCTGCCTCCTCTTCTGCGAGAACTTGCCGTCGCAGAGCCTCGTCAATCTGGCCTCCATGCTCGTCCAGCCTGGCGCTGCTCGCTGCTGTTCCAAATGCACTGCTAGTGGAAGACAGGGCGGACACCCCGGACTTAACATTCGTTCGGTTGCTGCGGAGTCGTCGCGCCAGTGCCGTGCCACAGTGGAGGAGTGAGGAGAGAAGAGAGGAGAGAAGAGGAGGAGAGGTGCCAGAGAAACAGGATCAGAGGGAGAGGAAGAGGAGACAGAGAGAGACATTGATTGAGGAGAAGAGTAAGAAATCAAATCATTTGTTAATAAAGCAAATGGTGTGGTGACAGAATTTGTTTGAGTTTATTAGAGAGGTAAAGGGAAAAAGAAAGGAGGGAAAAAAAGAAAACAAAACAAAATAAATAAAACAATAAACAAATTGGCTGTATATATTAGAGCAGTTGTCAGGTAAAATTATGTACTGATGCATGAAACCACATGCACTTCCAGGGTAAATCAATTCATGCAGATGTATTTAAAAGCAGAAGAGGCAACCCTTTCCGTTGCTTTGGCACATCGAAGGGCAAAGGGGATGGGACAGTGTCCACTTGTCAAATGGACAAAGTTTGTTCAAGATTGCCATTTGAAACCGCCATCCACATCATGCATGCATGAGTTTCGTTGAGGAAGCAAGGCATGCAGATCTATTCAAAAATAAAGTTATTTTTTCTCATTTTATAAAAGTATGTTAGTTAAGTGGATGAAAATAAGAATGGTAAAGAAGACCACACCACTTTAAATACCCAATTAAGTCAGAATAGCTGATAACATGCAAACAAACAATAAGGTGAAAAATATAAGGTAACAGAAAAGGTAAAACTCTTCTCCAGAGTAGGAAGGGAGCACTTGCAAGCAGCGACCACACCGCAGCAGTAATATGCAATCAAGACAAGTAAGATTTTAAACCATGGCCTTTAGCACAAGACAACATGTAATGTATTCAGTGGGAAGAGAAACAACTAGCCAATAGGTACCCTCTCTCCATTCTTATACTAAAGAAAAAGTCCAAATAAGACACATTTAAAACAGGGTTATTTCTCAGACCACTGATAATACATTATTAACACATTGACACTTTGAAGTTTTCTTGCCAATACAAATTCAGCACCTCCCAGTCAGGTGGCTCAAATGAAGCACAAAAAGCCTGCCCAGCAAAGCACTTCAACAGTGGGGTACGTTTATGAGGAACCACATGAAGCCACCCAGTATGAAGAGAGTGAAAACCCGGATACAAATTACAATGACGGAAACCACAATGCCAGGCACCATATTTTCACATAGACATATCCCAGCCATCACCAAGTGATCCATGACCTTCATGCAAGCAAAATGAGGTAGCCACCAAGGAAAAAAAAAAGGATAATAAATATGCCTTTTGAACCCCGTATCACATGACAATGCATTCATCAATGGCAAATAGTTCCGAATTCCAGTGACATTTAATTATACCTGGCTGATTGAGTAGGAGTGTTGGCAGCACTGCCCTTCTTGCCCTCCAGGGCATTTAAGTGCTGTTCCAATGCATCCAATAAGCTGCTAGGAGCCTTGGTTAAATCTGGAATGTCACCCTTATCTATTCCAACATTCTGTGAACAGACACACATAATCAGTCGCAAAATACAGGACAAAGGGGGAAAAGCAATAAAGACACAGTGGAAAGAGACGTGAAACTGACCTCTGCTACTTTCAGGAATTCTCCAACACGGTCCATCCTTATGAGGAACTTTTTGTACAAATCTAACGCGTCTCTACATTGTTTCTTATTCATATCAAAATATTTTTCTGCAATATTAAATTAAATAAATGGAAGTGCCAAACTGCATTGATTACAGACAAGAAAGGGTATGTTTGCTTACCAAGGAGGTTAATAATGCCATCATTGTAGCATGCAAAAAGACGAATAAGGTCGCGGAACAGCAGCATAAAGCACATATTAATAACACCATTTGTGAGGTCATTTGGTGAGCAATCAAATTCTAACAAGGCATCCAGCTGCGACTGAAGGACAGGCAAGGTCTTCAACAATTTTTCTGCGTTCATTGTGCGAAGGGTACCATCTTCTTTCCTGTAAGAAGAAGGTTCACATAAATATACTTTCATAAAAAAAAGACTAACAAGTAGCAAAAATTTATAAACCTTACCCTCGTTTCACTTTGCAAAAATCAAAAGCTACAGTTCGATATGACAATGCTTTTTCATTTAGATATTTCGCATATCTCCTGATGAAAGGAGACATATCATACCCTGTAAAGACATAACAGAAGTCAGTAAGATAAATTATTTGCAGCTTCTATTAACCAAAAAGAAAAAAAAAAACAAACCAATAATTTCAAAAAATTGTTAGGAAGCAGTACAGCACATGTTAAAAGCACACCTAAGAGACTAAGGGAGAATAAATAGGAAAGAAAGACCATTTCTGCATGACTTACCCACTCGAGCTCCTGGCAGCGGGTAAGGAGCAGAAAGAAAAAATTAGCACAATGCTAGAGAAAAAGACTAGAGGTTCTGTTAACAGAATGAATGGAGAGAAGAGGTGGGGGAAAGAAAGAAATCAGAGTGGCTAACAGACCAGTTTGATAGAAAAGATGGGATTCTATCCTCTCCACCATTACTATGAACACCTAGACTTTGATAATCAGCCACCAATTAGCCACCAACCCCTCTCCAATTTAAAAAGAAAATACACATTATATACAAACCTTGGACCCCACTCTTATCTAAAAAGTTACTGAGTTGGAACGTGCTGTTGCTGGATGCTAAGTACTGAGTAAACCGCTGTAAAAAAATAAAAAGCACGTCAGTCTAATATTTCAAATTTAAAAACACAAGTACATTTCATAGGCATGACGCGGTCCGAACGTACCTCATTTCCATAACACATCATGTGATGAACAGTGATAAGGGCCTTGTACACCACCACCCAGTTGGCATTTTGAGAGCGCTCAATGAGCAGATTAGCCAGTTGAGGGATGGAAACATTGGGCTCGTTGGTGCAGTGGATGAGGTCTGAAACACACAAGACAATTATGTTAAGACAGTGCATGGTACGGGCTTGTTGACACATGGCACTGCAGGGCTGCTGTGCTGGACACCGGCCAACCGAGAGACAGCGTGACAGCGTGCAGCGCGACCGAAATACACGTATCGCTTCTTTCGAAACGCTGGCCAGGCAGCCAGGCAGGCAGGCCTAAGCGATAGGCAACCTCGCCAGCCATTCAACTGTCCGAGCTTCACAGCGGCAAAGCGTCGCACAGTGGGCCAGAGGACCAGCGCCGGCGGCCAAAACTCTGGACACGTTTTGAGCTCCAGAGTTGCTAAAAAGGACTCTAACAAAGCGTGTGACCCCACCAATGGATTCCCCGTTCGGAGAGCAATCCATTGGTGCGGTCACACGTTCGGTTCGAGTCCTGTTTAGAGACTCCGGAGCTCGAAAACGCGTCTAAAATTTGGCTTCTGGCCCACTGTGCGTCGCGTAGGCCACAACGCCATGACGGCCATGCATGACCATCGTCACGAGGAGGCAACGAGCAACAGGTGCTCGGCATGCTCGCCAGCAAGGCGGTCCACGCCATCTGCATCCACCCAGCCAGCACAGCCACTCGGCCAGCGGGCCAGCCGAACGCTCATCACTTATGCCCGTCCTCTCGCTTTGGAGACAGGCAGCGTTCGTCGACAACGAAGCTGGCGACGAGGGGCTCGTGTTCAGAGGGCCGGGCTGAACCCCCGAGACCCGGCTTACGTTAAAACTAGATTGAACAGACTTAAGACCACCGCCGTTCCTTCCGCCGACAGTGATAAGTCCTAGCCAAGCCCGAGGCCATATTTACCAAGCCAACCAATTTCACGGCGCGGGGGTCAAGGACAGCCCCGCCACCACCCACCTCCGCCAGCCGCCTCCACCGCAGCGCCGCAGGCCAGGGAGGGGGAGCCATCGACCCGAGGGGAGGGGGAGGGGAGGCAACCCGAACACCCGACGGGCCCAAACGAAAACCACACCAAACCCAAACAAAAGAGCCACAGACCGCACCGCGTCGCCGAGACTCTGCCTCTATATTAAACCCGAGTGGGCAAGGCCTGGCGGCGCAGAGGGCCGGAACGCCCGGCAGGGTAGGCAATCCCAACACACCCGTGCGCGCGCCCCGGCAGATGGCCTACCCGCGCAGGCGTTCAGCGCCCGCCGTCCGGAGATAGGCAACCCGCCCCACATCCGTGCATTGCACTCGGTAGGGTTGCCTACCCACGCAGGCGTTCAGCGCCCGCCGTCCGGCGACAGGCAACCCGCTTCACATCCGTGCATTGCACTCGGTAGGGTTGCCTACTCGCAGGCGTTCAGCGCCCGCCGTCCGGCGACAGGCAACCCGCCCCGCCGCATTCCCGGGAGGGTTGACCCCAGGCGTTCAAACGCCCGCCGTCCGGCGCAGGCCCCGTTTTCCTGATTTCTGGGGTTCCACTTTCCGGCGCGCGTCGCGTACCGACGGCAACCGCTGCGCGTCCGTAGGCGTCGCGGCCCAACGAATTCGCATTCCGGCGAGCGTCCCTCCCGCCGACCCCCCAGGCCCAAGAAAGAAAGCCTTCCCCAGAGGAAGCCACCAGAGGCGCCACCAGAGAGCGCCGCAGGACTCACTGCTTCATCGCTCCGTCTCTCTCGCACGCACGGGGCGTCCCGAACTCCCGAGAGAGACATCGACAGACAAGCGGAATCAGTCGAGCGGCGCCTCGCGCGGAGCGATTCCGAACATATCGCTCCGTCTCTCTCGCACTCAGGCGGCGCGCCGTGTGGGTGCGAGAGAGACAGCGACAAACCGCGCGGTGACGCCAAAAGGGATCACAATATTCCCCGCGCAAACACGGACGCGTCAACCACGCCCCGCAAGGGTCCACGCCAGTTCACTCCGAACAGAGCTGCCGTCCTTCCTCTCTCTCTCTCTCGCACTCGCGGGGCGAGCCGGCGTGCCCCGGGGGTGCGAGAGAGACGGACGAGCGGCGAGGGCGGCAGGGGGGCCCGGCCTTGTCTCTCTCGCACGCGGCTAAATTTGAGCGGCGCGAGCCGAGCCAAGCGACACTGTACAACGCCCTTAGAACATTGACAGAGCGAACGTGTGTGTTTACCCACAGGACGTACAAGGGGGGGGGGGAGGGGAGGGCGCATGCTTCAGTTTGTTTACTACGCCGATGACTCCCCTCGGGCCCTCGCCACCTTCCAACGGGCAGCCTGCGCGGTGCACGGTCTGGCCAATTCCGTACCGCGCCATCGCGCCCCCTTTCCTCACGGCGAGGCGCGTGGCCGAACAACGCGTGCAGCGTCTCTCTCGCACTCACGGGGCGTCCCGTGAGGGCGCGAGAGAGACAGACTCTTCCCTGGACACGGCGACACGCTGTCGCGCAGCGGGATCTCTCCCCCGGGGGCGCCGATTAACGCAGCACGCGCAGCGGGCCGCCCATTCAAGCCGAGCCGCGATGACGACACGCCCCGCGGGGCCACGCCAGTGTGGGGCACGCCGGCACGCCGCGGACAGCACGTGGGTGGCGGCAGGTCACGGAGAAGCGGTGAATGCATTTCACCCCGTCCTCCAAGCCGTCGTCCTCGTCTCCCGCCGTTCAGTAGCGGCTCGGGGTGGAGGAGATTCGGGCGGAACGGAGGGGGAGGGGGGAGGGGCGCCCCGCGTCGGCGGCGGGGGCATGCAGGGAGCGCCCGACCCCCGGCCGGTCGATAGCTCGCGCCCATGCAGGGCGAAAAGGGGGGAAGGGGGGGGGGCTGAAAATGGGGAAGGGGGCAGTGCGGGTGAAGAATCACACCAAAAGGAAAAGGGGCCGTCTCAAGGACCGAGTTCGAGAGAGACAGAGAGGGAGAGGGCCTCCACGTAGTTGCAGCGGACACTGTCACTGCAACGGGAATGCTTATCGCGGCACACGGGCCACGTGGGGCGACCGAGCGATGCCGAACAGCGCTCTGGCAGCTCTCTCTCTTGCACCACAGCGCAACGCCCAGAGAGTGCGACTCAGCAGCAGCAGCCAGTGGGGCGCACGGCACACAACACGTGCACAAGGACATTCCAGCGGCAGTAGGCAGCAGGCCGGAGCGTGGCGGCGTGCACGTGCACCGAGAGGGAGGAGGGGGGAGCCCGAAGGGGGACGCGGCGCGCTCAGAGCTAGCAAAGCTAGCGCACCCACCAGCGCTTAAGGCAGGCGTCGGCGGAGAGGCGAGGCGCATCCCAACCCAGGCTGCTTCTCCAATTCAATTTGGCGCCGTCCGCGTGCCTCGGAAATCACGCCACGCCGCGCCACGCCTCGTCAGGGACCGTCGAGCCCCATCCCTCCGGTCCTCCGGGCGCTCCGCCGTAATTTGACTCAATTTATCCGATCTCCACCGGTTTGGGGAGAGGAAGGAGACGCCGGCATGACATGATGCGCCGCTCCGCCATCAAGGGAAGCCGGTTGCACGCTGCACGCGCAAACTCAGACTTGTGGAAACAGTCGAAAACGTTTACAATCGCACGCAGCGCCACAGTCAAGCTCGCCGGCATTCTCACTCTTCGCGCAACGAGTGCAACCTCCCCCCTCTCTCTCTCCCCGACGCCTGGCCTGTTGGATGCGGCGACCAGCAGAGTGTCGCTGTCTCTCTCTCGCACCTGAATACGGGGCGGCCTGCGAGTGCGAGAGAGACAGCGCGACCATCGGAATCAGTCCGCTGCAGCGACCTCACATCGCTCGGCGTCACTCTCGCCGCACTCGCACGGCCTGACGGCATCGGGCACACTGCAAGTCACGCTGTCTCTCTCGCACCGCCACGGGACGTTCCCGGCGAGAGCGAGACAGAGCGACCACGTGATCCAGGCAGTGCAGGCACTGCACGTGCCCCACTGCACTTGGGAGCGTGAGAACCAGCCGGCCTGCCGGCCTGCCCGCTGCAGCCCCCACGCCGAGGCTTGCGCAACGCGCCGCGTGCGCGTCACGCGTGGTCACGCGTCGGTCCGTGCTGCGGAGCCACGCCGGAGAACGCCCCAGGAACCAAGCGAAGAGAGAGACAGAGCACCGAGGTATTGGCCGAGGCGAAGAACAGGGGAGCGAGCGAGACGGAGCGCTACGAAGTACGGTTCCGAACGGACCCGCAAAAGGGGGCCTCGATACAGAGCCCTGAAAAGACGGCGCCCGGAGATGCGGGGGCGGACGGGCCATCGCTCCACCCCCGCGGGCGGGGGCAGCAGCGCCAGCAGGGCCGGGGGCGTCTGGGCGGGCCAGGCCCCGTCTCCACTGAGAGGGCCACGCCACGCCCAAGTTTGGCAATATGACGGCAGGCACGTCCAGCTGGGCGAGCCAGAGCCGGCCAGAGCCCCCGGAACCATTTGCACCAGCTCGGCAGACACCATCAGAGCGGCGCAAAATAAAGGTCGCGACGTCGTCTACAGTCGGCGCCACCAAACCACCCCACGGGGGGTGCCAACCCCCAGGCACGAATGACGTCCAAAGTTAGGCCCGAGCCGCGTTAGCGCGTGGCACGTGCTCCGCGTCGCGACGTCACCCAATTCATTTCCGCGAGCCCTCTCCAATCCGACATCCCCCCGGGACGAGCTCCGGGGCCGCCTGCTGCCCCCCCCCCTTTTCGCCCTTTCATACAAGAATCGCCCGCGCACCGCGTGGAGACAAGGGGAGGGCGGGTGAGGGGGGCCAAACGGGGCACGGCGGATCGAACGGGCCTCCGCGCTTCGGCCCCAACCCCCCCGTCAGCTGATCGCTCTTCCAGGGGCGGGTCCAGGAGGGAGGGGAAAGGGGGGGAGCAGGACCGGGATGAAGAGGAGAGAGAGAGGGGAGGGCGATGGCTCAAGGTCACGCGCCGAGTGGTCCAAGCGCCGCGAATCCAGAGCACCTAGTACGCCAGTACGCCCCCGGGGGACCTGCTGCCGCTGCTATGGCTACGCGGAAGCCAGGGGCGGAAGCGAGGGGAGGAAAAATGGAGGGGGGGGGGGGTCCCACCCCACCCCGCGCGCGTCCCACAGAGGAAGGCAGGT